AACTGCTACTTAAGATGTATAACCTACACGGAACATGGTACAGGGTAACACTAAAACTAGTAGAATCGATACCACCGCCAGTAATTTAACCACTATCAAAGCCAAAATGGAGGTATATCGATCCGGAACACCTGGGAACAAGCGGTATTTATTCCAACGAAGACCTCAACAAATTAAGGTCTCATATAATGGAACCAGCCGAAAAACCTGCTATGATCGATACGCTCGCCAGAAGAATCAGCGTAAGGTACATACCCTCCGGAAAAATTTCGTTATATAATTTAATGGACGAGGAGTTATTAAATAAAATTGCATCAAGTACGGCATAACGACTATGGGGCGCGTTCAAAACATTCGGGCCAGCAAGCGCCGGAGTTTTAGCCATCTTCATGGCCATACGATTGGTAAAATTCATCATCGATACACTCATCCACGGTTATTCCCTGCATAACATATACGGATGGAGCTTACATTTTTTAGGAGCACTATGGAGCTCGGTGACTCATTTTCTTCTACACCTAGGAAAAAGAGAAAAGAAAGAAGAAACTCCAATAAGTATGGCACCAGAGGCTACTACCATCGACGAAGAAAGAGGAGAGTGCGCTGCTGATAAAAAACGTAACACATTCTACGAATTAAACACTTATTTGAGTAAAGAAAGAAGTTAAAATGCACGTATAATTATGCACATTTTTTAATAAAGGGGAAGTGTTACATCTCACTCCCTTTTCACACTTAAGCACTAAAAACCTGTAGGTAAAACTTTCTTATATTATTAAGTATAGGAGTAAATTGGGACACCTTACACTTACGTATTATATAAACTTTTTCAAACTTTTATTAATCAAAGAAACGTACAAATTAAGATCCTTACGTATATATATATATATAACTAACACAATTATATGACACATTCGAGCCCGATGTAAAGGGAGTCTATTATTACAAACTAACACCATTATAGAGCACACAATAGCAAATAGGTAATAAACATGTAAGTGATAAAATAAGGAGACGAAAATAAAACTAAAAAAATGTTATAGAAAGCGATGCCGAACTCCGAAAAAAGTAAAAGGGACGCAGGAGCTCAAGGAATTCGAAGAAGCGAAACTACCGCTCGACGTATGTGTTCTCCGGGTGGAACTATCTAAAATTTCGTCCCCACAAAGCGACGTCAAACTCCGGAGAAGGAGAAGAGACGCAGAAATCCAAAGAAGTAAGGAAACGAAACTATCACCCGTCGTACGTGTTATCCGCATAGGAATCTCCAAAATTTCCAACCCCACCACGGGACTACGGCAGCGGCAGATTCATCCCCACGACGCACGGCGGCGCTACTTCCAGCCTCCTACCGCAGATCGACGAGGACATAAGCGGCTGCATCGCTCATCTCCGCAGTTATTGATCCAGTTTTCGACGACTAAACATCTATCTTAACGTGGTTATATTATCTCATCCTTCGACGACTAAACATTGGTCTTGACTTTGATCATACTAACGTACTGTTAGTCTTATTTTATACTTAGAAATTTCGTCTATACACTGTACTTTAAAATTTTAATAAATTAGTGTTAAGTTTTAAATTCAGTGGTCGTTTAATTAACCCCGGTTGTGCTTCCCAGGCAACCTCGCGTAAATCTAAAGTCATTAATTTCTCTCGTGAGTCTCAAGATTTTCCTACTAAAAAGTCGACAAGTTCGAAGTTAAAGCTTCCATTATTCAAGTGGAAATCTTTTCACCTTAGTTATCCTTTACTAGAGGTGCGTACGAATCGCACGAGTTATCGTAACCTTATCCAACACCCGACAACTAGAGGTGCGTATTTCATATTATTATTTAATATTATTTCATAAATCATCTAGTAGTAAAGAAGAAACCTATGGGTTTTACAAAAATTTGCATAGTAATGATAGGAAAGAATTTAAATTTTTCCAAAAAGAAAAACAAATAGAATTGTATGCATTTGGATTTTGATTTGGATATTGATGATTGAATAATTGTGATAATTAACTTGATACTATATAAATATATAGTAGGATGCTATTCAACAGATCTTACAAGAATTAATTATTAAGAAAGATATCGAAGATGATAATTCCGAGGAAACTGCAATTAAGTGCACTAAGTGGACTGAGTTTTGTGAACGTCAGAAATTGTTTACTTTTACTCCAACAACCGACATCAACAACTACTCATACTATACTTCATATGATGTATTTTCTTTATTTGTTGATAACAAATTAATAAATTTGCTCATAGAACAAATAAACAGAATAGAAATTAAATAAAATCACATTAACTCAATTTGCACGAATGCAACAATAGATATAAATTAATTCGGATGAAATAAGAAAATTCATGGGATCAATTTTGTGATGTAAGAGTCTACTCTATAAACAATTATTGCTAAAAAGTACATTGTATAATTTTGATTTACTACGTACCATCATGTCACAGAACAGATTCGAAAGATTATACTTCTCAACAACTTTCGTTTTCTGATAACACTACTATTGTTTATAGTAATGGACTTGGGAAGGTATTTCGACTGTGGGATGAAAAAAAACAAAAGGAGTATCAAAAAATATTTAAACTAGGAAGAAATATCATTACTGACGAAACATTAATTTTATGGTATAAAAGATTGATAATTAAGTAATATATTCCAAATAAAGCCCATAAATAGGGAATAAAATAATTTAAATGATGCTCTCCTAAAAGATATATATGGATATAATAAGGATCTATAGTGAAAAGCCAACTACATTTTGCAACAATTCAATAGGACACCCCTAAATTTTCTATATTTCTCAAGTCCCATCGTATTAACATTGTGATATCAGAGGAACTGGATTGGCATATAATGTATGACTGCAACTTACAGGAGAGTTTATCAACCAGGGATGAACATTATACATTGATAATTTTTATACTTACTATGAATTAACTATATCGTGTCGTCCAAAACAAAAGACTCACATAGTTGAAACAATTAAAAATAATAAAAAATTCATTCGAAGACATTTTTCAGCATACCAATGAGTTACTTGTATGAGAGTCAACTTCAACAGCTGCGCCAAAAGGCATTAAAATCTGTCATGGTGTATCCTGGGTCGTTAGAAACTGCAGTAGTAACACCTATACTTACGAAAGTTCCTGCGAGAATTCTTACGACCATAATCGGGAACGGATTCGCACTTAGAATAATTTTATTCGCGTAAAAGTTTCCATCCGCACATCCACGGCTTATTACTACTCGTTAGGAAAACGGACTCTGAAGAGAGTTTTTTCTTCGAAGAAATCTTCACTTCGCAGGAATTTGAATTCTGCAGCTGCACATGGATTGTTTCAGCAGTAATTACATTCATCGGTTTGTACATCAGATAAAATTAGATATCCTAAAAATCTTAAGTTCAAAAACAAGACACGGACTTCGCCTTAATCATTTTAGGAACTAAAAGAAAGCTTGCGGCAGTGCCCGCTCAAAAATAGCGAATGAGTCCTTAGAAAACTTGATTAAGAAATTAATCAAGTATGGCAAATAACAAATTCAGTCATTTATATGTCTCTGTTTAAGGATCGATGAACGCCACCGGCTTTTTAATTTTAGAACTCTGTTTCTTCAATGGTTTTTACGAGACATGAAAGAAACGCATTGGAATGAGCAGGAAAGGAAGATATCGGCTTAAATGTTCAGACTAAAAAAGTAAACTACATAAAATTACCCAATCCTAAACTGTGAGTCGTAGTAATAGGATGAATAACTTATTTAGTCTTTAGTGAGCCAACTTACAAGAACTAGTCACACTTTGGTATACAAAACGACATAGAGAAAAGTCGCAACTTAACATGTGAAACTTCATTAAAATCAGATGATTAATGATATCTATTGAAATAGCAGCGAGTATAGTTTGCGAAACAATAACTGGATATTTCCAACAGATGTGTCTACGTCACATGCTACTCAATACAAGTGACAATATTGTGCTCTGTATGATGCATCCGAGCCCATTTAAGAGGAGAGTGGTTATCTTCTTTCATGAATATCACGAGATGGCAACTGAGTGCTGCGTTGTTGTAACATGTGGAAATATTCCTGATATGCAATAGACGATCAGAATCGGCAAGTTGACAATAATGTCATGTAGCAAGAACAAATAGTTACTGATCCATTTTTCATAAAAAGATGCTGCAGATATCAGCTAACGACCAAGAGACTCTTCGATGATGTCAGCTTTGCTTAAAGTGTCATCGACGTAAATATCTTAAGATCACACTTTCGCGAACTCTGGATGAATGGCTTTTTCATCCTAGGTCGATCATACGAAGAACCAAAAAGATAGTAGAAGAAATACAGTAATTGACGATGTTCACTCGGTAGTATCATTACCGAAAATAGCCATACGATACAAAGAGCTAATAGTTCCGTTGGCTTAACACTATTACATGTTAAGTACATTTATTTTTTCACTGCTCACGCTTAATATTTTTATAAATTACATATTCGTGACATATATTTATAACTCCATACACGTGATTGTTCTAATAAAAAAACAATGTCATGATTTGCCATTTGAATTCCCGAATCTATGCATCACTGTCTTTTCTTCGTTCATGTTTTGGTACTTCGATATCGAAATATCGTAATATCAAATGATATCAGGAAAATGAATGCTCCATTTCACAACGAATATCGTAAGCATACATAAGAAAAAGAAGAGTCAATTAAATGCATCATTAATTAATAATACAATTAAATTGTATCGCCCTAATCGATAATACAAAATTCTACTTTAAGCTAATAAAATAGGTAAACATATTAAGAAAAAAATGAAAACATTTAAAAATGTACTACTTTTGAGCAAATCCAAAAAAGGAATTGTTTAAGGTCTTGTTCGTTAATAATTGATTGAAAAAATTACAACCAGTAACTCGTACCGATCTGGATTTTTTGTTCTCAACATAATAAGTACTGAAGAAATACAATTATGTTCACCTACTTACTTAAGAAATTCCACGGTCCAAAACATTCATCCTTATTGTAGGTTGAAATCAGAGTAGATTGACCCGTAATAAGTCAAAAATAAGATATATTTACATCAAAGTAAATTGAAAATGAAGTAGGTTGAAGTTGCAGTAGATTGACTTGGTAAATTGATTTGAGAATGCAATGATGATATGAAAACAGATTGAAAAAGAAATTGATATTAAATTTTTTGTAATAAAATGAATTGTAAAATTATATGACTATAAAATTTCAACATTTACTTACTGCTATTGTTCTATAGAAGGAATATACTAGCTTCTTGATCGTCTTCCATGGTGCATTGCCTTTAATACGCGATAATTATTTATTGATCAAGAGACACCAAAAATTTAATTCAATTGGATGTTTCACATATAAAGTATAGTCTATCGAACTGTAAAATAACGAAATAGAAACATTAATAAAACTTTATATGAACAAACACTGACTTAATGACTGCTTTGTGCACAATCTATTCAAATACACATGCTTCTAAAATTTAATTGAAATCACAAAATACAAACGAATGCAAATTAACAATAAAACTCTAAATCGATTTCAGTTCTTTTATTTTATCGAAACAAAGATTGATTTATCCATGCATGACTCCACAAATTGTGCAATAATAATCTGAAATAAAATACAAACAATATCATTAGTATCAATAAAAAAGAATCATTAAAAACCACAGACAGATAATAAGAGGTTACTTGAGTTTTTACTAATATAAAGTAACAATGAAATAAACAAAAATATTACAAAAAAGATTTAATAAACATTAACTATTACCTACAATTTATTAACTTATTAATATTAATTATTACCTAAAACAGAACAACTTCTCCTCCATTAGCTGCATGATCAACAACCGTGTCAATCAATTCATTCCTCCACCATATAAATTTACTAGCCATAATTCCATGCTCCGCGTTTATCAAAACTATGCTTAAGAGTTACGCCTGTTTTCATTATTGGTCTAAATATTGTTTCTCATATTTTTCGAGAAAAAAAAGTTTCATACAGTAGCACCTGCAAAAAAGAAAAAGTTCATATCCCCATTACTGAGATCCAATAATGGAGGACATCTTTTTCCATCTTAACTCAACAAATAAGTGTATATAGAGCCATATCTCAAACTGCCAATAGCCTATCCTTGGCCGACAAAATATTAATAACGTTTATAGTGGTAATGATTTTAAAATAAAAGTACATAGCTTATAATAAATCACAATTATCAATAAATTAATAATTAATTTATTATTAATAATATTATTTATAATAAATAATATTATTTATCTACGTAACAAAAAGCTAAGTATTTTCCAAAGTAGGTATCCTATTATTTTGCAACAAAAATTATTTAATCCTATCCCACGGCACAATCATTCATAAATTCATGTATGAAGACAAATTTCCTAAAAAAAAAGCATACTAACTAAAATAGAATAATAAATATTCTTATACCAGAATTTATTCGCAAATTTTTAATAGATACACGTAACATACCTTCAGTTACATACGAAAACTAGTAAAAAAAGACACTGTACCTGTGAGGTTGTCTATTCGTATTATATTATGTATTAAAAATTATTCATAGCAAATACTTCTAGAATTTAATAAAACTATGTATTATAACGTAAAATAAAAGAGCTTTATGCATAAATATAAAGCTTTTTCGAATATTCAAAAAATCGGGGTCATAGATAAAACCTTCCTCCTTAAAATAAGATCGCGTTCATAAAAATCGATTAAAAATTACTCTTGTTTTCATTATTGGTATAAATGCTTTTTTTTCATATTTTTCACGAAGAGAAATTTCGTACCCTCGAAATCTGTGGCAAAAAAGAAAAAGCTCATATCACCATTACTGATTTCCAGAGATATTATTAAATTTAAGAAAAAATTGTAGTTCGTTTTTTATTTTATAAACTAAAAATGAAGAGATTTTACAAGTAATGTGTAGCATATTAGTAAGCGTCTAAATTCGTAATTCATGAATCATAGTTATGAAGCTAATGATTCCGTTGGTACCTTTTTTGATTTTATCAAAAAAAAAAAAAATTAATAACTTTATTTACTTTTGCTTATTTGATAATTTAATAAGATATTACTACCCAATCTCTTATAGTTATTTCTCCTACTTGATGCGAGTTTTGGAATAACCTATTCTATATGGGACAAAGGCAGCAGTACAATTTTTCTAGATGACAAATGAATATAAAGTAAAAAAATATATATACATTCGTCGATTATTTTTTTTAATGTAATAATTAATGAAAATATACACTTATATATTATATTTTTCTCTAGCATTGATTATTATGAGACCTTTTTTATATATCATCATCAAAAAAGATATAAGAAAATTCAACAGAAAGTATGATGTAATAATTTCACGATCTCGATGGCAATTTCATTTTCGCGAATATCTTTTAAACGCAACATTTTCCAAATTTGCGAACATTACACTATAGAAATTGCATTTTTGCCACCGATTAATATATAGGACGGAATTATAACTTTGAAAAAAAAAGTTAATTACCTGTAAATAGAAGGACGATAAAGCCCCGTGAAAAGCTGTTGGCGCACGCGAATCCAAAAGGAGTGCAATGGTAGGGAAACCGGTAGAGACTTGTACTTTTAGTGGAATTCATCTGGCAACAGCGGAAAAGATGTTCTCAATCATGTTCTTAATCTTACGATAATAAATAAATACGCAAATACAATGAATCAAATAATAAATAAATCTGTGCAATAAATTTGAATCCGTTCCATAAATATTAAAAAAAAAACAATATTTATCTCTATCTATTCATTGTTATCTATAAATCTCCAATAATATAGAATTTATAATTAAAATGAAATATCATGAAGCGTTAGAAATCAAGAATCATTGGAAATGTTCGGTCATTGTTTAGAAAGAAGAAATTTGCGGCGAAGAAATAATTTTGAATAAATAATGGTATAAAAAACTAATTGACAGTGAAGGTTTTTACAATAAATCTTCATTATGTATATATATATTGGGTTGGCAACTAAGTGATTGCGGATTTTGTCGTTTCCTTCTTATTTAAAATCCGGCCATCACTTAGTTGCCAACCCAATATATATATATTTGTCTCGATCATTACTTGTCTTGCTGATAGGGAGAGAGAAGGAGGGGGAAGAGGAAGAAAGGGAAAGTAATTGTTTTCCTAAATTAATATTTAAGTAAATGCTTAAAGTAGAAACTTATAGATAAGAACAAAAAAAGGAGAATATAATTTTCAAATAACAAAATTTAACTTACAGTATTCATCGTATATACAAAACTAGCTCTTCTTGATATTTCACATTCGTCAACAGATCTTAGAACAACCTTTCAAAAATATATGTAGTAAATAAGTCTTGACATTATTTTCTTTTCTCTGTTTATTTCCATCTACTTTAAAATCTCTCTTTGTATTGTACGTATAGTAGAACAAAGAACTAATAACCTTACAAAATGTTTTTATTTATTTGCTCAAGTCTATTGTTCTAACTTGTGCTTGAATATTTCTTTTTTCCCTTATTCCTCGTTACCTTACATATTTACATACATATATGTTTATACAGAGAATAACTTTTAAATGAAAACAAGTAAATATTTCCACTATTTATGAATGTATGGAAAAAATGTTCAGAACAAAGTCACCTTTCAAAGGACACCTATTATGATGGAAAGAATTTTTTCTAAAGGTTTAATTTTATTAAGAAATTTCAAGATCATAAATATTTTATTAAATCTACAATTAGTTTGTATAAATTGATCTCTCTTGCCATTCTGAATAAAAAAGTATTAAACTACAATGTCGAAAAATAATTAGTTTGCGAGATATTTTGAAAAAATCATTTATGGTAGACAACATAGTCTTAATCATATATATATGATTTGATTATATTATATATATATTTATTATAATATAATATATAAAAATAAGAATTAATAAGAATTTTTAATACAATGATAAATATTTAATTTTTATTTAATAAAAAAATCATTAAAAGAAAAATTTATTAATTTTTGATGAAAAAAATATATGTTTTTATCTTATTTTTAATAAAAAAAATTACTAAAAGGAAAAATTTATTGATTTTTTGATATTTCATGAAATTTATAGTATATATATATATATATAAATATTTAATTTAAATATAATGATACAAAAGAATATAAATAATTAAACAAAGTAATTATTCTCCTAATAAATAAATAATTTAAGATGTCACATATTATATTACATAATCGAATATTATTTAAGAATGTAAATAAAGTAGAAATAATTATTATCATAATAAATAAATAATTTAAGATATGTCATATATTATAATATATAAATAAATTTTTATAAGTATTCTTATTATAATTAAAAATGTGATTCCTTACAAATTATAACTGATAAATAATTAGTATTAGCTTATACGATAATTTTGTCAAATTCTTAATATAAATGTTAAATGACTATCCTCAGTCTTTAACGAACGTTCAATTTGTTAAGTTCAATATAAACACATAGGTTCGAAACGAATAAGTACAAAGAATTCTGAAAATTAACTCTTCACAACATCACGTAATTTTTAAATTTCATTTTTATATATCTACTTTTAAACAAATTTGATTTTAGCTTTATATCCAAAATTGTTATTGTGTTTTAAATATACATTATAATTGGTATAGTGTAATTATATTAACATAAATAAGATTAAGATTTTTTTTATATAATTTTTATATAAATAGTAAATATTGCGCCAGAAAGAAGGCTTCATTTGTACTTTTGTAATACTTGTATTAGGTGAACCGGAAAGTAATGTTGCTTTCTTAAATTAAATTCAAACAAATAAATTTTTAACACGTTTTTATTTTTAATCACAATCAAATATCGACATTCGCAGAAACGACATTACTTTCCGGTCCACCTAATACTTTCAAGAGGGATCGATCAGTAAAAAATGTTAATTGTTTAGCTAATAATTACATTAATTTAAAAAATTAACTTCAAAATTTTTATGATATTTAATGCATTGTAGAATTTATTTATAAAATATAAAAAGGCAAAAAAGAATGCAACAAATAATGCCAAAAGAAAAAGGAAGATGAAACTTTCAATCTTACTGACAGTTCTATTGAGTTAGATAATATCACTCTAAACAAGATTGATAATTCGTCTCGAAATATTATCTAGCTTTACTTTGACTAATACACATTCGCTCAATCTCGGAAGATCAACTAAAACTTCCCCATCTTAGATTAAGAAAGATGTGGGACAGAAGGTTTTATTTTTATGACTAAAGCAACATTACTCTTTTGACAAAAGTCCAGGTATTTTACTCAGAACAAGTTCAGGATTACTGACTAACTTTCACAAGCGATCGGATAATCTCTTTATTTTATGAAATTTTTATATACATCTATAAATATATCAAAAATATATATATATATATTTTGTATTTATTATTATTTATTATTTGTATTTCTTATTTTACGCATAGAAGTTTTGAAAAATTTTGAAAAAATTTAATTTTATATATCTCTTACTAAATTAACGAGTCTTTTTGAATTTAGTTATTTATGTTAAATTACTCGTATTATATAAAAACTATATTATATTCAAATGGAAGATATCAGTAATTCATAACAATGACTCATAAAAAAGATTTTGATATAATAGTTTGTATTTATGAATAGTAATATTTCACTACGGGAAAAAAAAATTTTAAGCACTTTAGTAAAAATAGTTCAAGTAAATAGAGGACTTCGAAAAGAAGAGAAAATTATTAAAATACTTCAGTAAAGGTACTTTAAGTAAATAAGGACTTAGAGAAAAAAAAAATATTTTTTTTAATTATTAATTATTTGATCATGCAAGCACTCCACTATTTATTTGAAGGAGTTTCATCAAGGCTCTATTTTCGCGGTCACGTTCCTATGACGAAACTTTGAAAATTTTAAAAATTTTTGAAATTTTGAAAACATCGGAAAATTTTATTTCCCTTATCACGGGCGACAAGGTCTGTAGAGCCATGCCTGAAGTTCCGTACGTTTCCCGCGCTTTTTTGATTTGAGGTTATGAGAGACGCATGTGCGCCAACTGTCGAAAAATAAATAATGTGCATTGCTACCAATACAAATTATTGTTGTCCAATCCATCAGCCAATCACAGTATGGCGTGAATTAGTTGCAAATCCACTTCCGTCTTGCAACAGAAATTATCAGTTGAGTCCACCGTTCGTCCATAGAATATAAAATGCAAAAACGAACATAACCTCTACAAAACTACTGAGCACATTCTACACTAATTACAGAGAAATTAATCAATCCCTAGTATTGATTATTATCTCACTTTGTTCACCGATCTCTAATTAACGGATGAGATAATTTTTTCACAGGCAAAATAAAGGAAACCGGAAAAATTTTCACAAAACGCGGCGCACACGGCAACGTGTCCATCCCGTATCGCAGCCATGATGGAACAGTATAGTGTAAAGGTGAATAGACATATGGTGCCTGCACCTATGCTACCTCGCCCATTACGACATACGCTACGAAACCACCCAAAGGCAGCAGCCACCACAGCCAAGTGACCGGATTCGGAAAAACCCAAAACTCCTGCCGGCAAGATAAGGTGAGCGGTTTAGACACATCCTGGCAGCGACCAACATCCTCGCAACAACGAATCACCACGCTGATGCCGGCTGTACCCACGGGAAACCACGGAGAGGCCCACTCACAGTGCCACGATCCTTGACACTCGTTCCGTAGGACAGGATAGGATTGGTAGGATAGCAGGTATTAGAGAGAGTATTGGATTGTAGTGAGAAGAAAAAAAAATAGGGTAACGCATGCGAGTATCTCCGACTCTATCCTGTTCGAGAATGAGTTAACCTGGAAAAATTATAGGCACCAACCCTCATCACCAGAACTCCGACAATCCCAGCGGAACAGGATTTATGAACTAATTACCCTTAATACAGATGGTTTCTTTACAAAACCGCGAAGAGGGAAAAGGCCTCAGCCGTGAAGACAAGATGTTTCGCTACTTCTGGCCAGCTCTTTTCGCAGAATATTTCTTCCAGAGCAACTCTCTGAGGTTCGAAAACCGAGCATTCGATGATGTGATCCGAAATCGTGTCCTCTTCGCCACACTCGCATGTTCCATCCGTGACGAGATTCAGCGACCTTAGTTTTACCTAGAAAGTCCCATGACTTGAAAGAAATTGCGTTGAAAAGTGGTTTCTTGTGTTCCTCTATGAGCTATCGCTATCACTGCTTTCCATATCATCCAATTTCTATTATTCCCTATTTATTAAAAACATTAACATAATTTAGAATCAGATATATATATAGAATAGGATCTACATATATAAGATAATATATAAACATCTGTTTTTTCATTCCGCCAATCGTTACTAACAACCAATGGCTCCAAAATCTTGTTCAAAATATTCATCCTTCAAAATTTTTCTCTCATATTTTTTTCATTTTGTAACAGATATATTTGAATATTTTATTCCTTTCTTCGTCTTCTTTATTTTCATTGTATATAATTACAAGTAAATATACAAATAATTAATTAATAATATAATAATCGATGATATTTTTAAATAATTTGAAAAGAAATAAGTATATGTAATTTTTCGTTTTACCTAAATGTTATATACAACTTTTTTTTAATTATACTATTTACTTTAAAAATATAAGTTATTAGTACTTGACAGCTACAAGGATAATTTATTAACACTGAATAATCATTATAATAGATAGATAAAATATTAACTTAGATCTAAAGAAAGTACTATAAAAAACTCATGAGAATTAGCTTAATGATTTTCACCAATCATATCATCATATTATCGATGGACATGTTTGAAAATTATGTTAGATTACATTTCAATGAGTTTTGTATCTAGACCTCGCTATACTACAGTCATGTTTATAAGTAAAAGAAATCGATTTTCTAATAAACTATGCATGTTAATAAGCATTCGAAACATTGAAAATTTTTGACAATTAAATTAATAGAAATCTATGTAGTATGTAAACGCAAAATAATCGTAATGATATGAAAATGTGAATAATTAAATGTAACTGTGAATAATAGATTTCAAAGCCGCCTACAAGAAAAATCTAACAGAATACTATTTTATTCGTATATTTTCCATTTATTTTTATATATACATATATTCTACACTATTTTTTCTAATTAAAATATTTATTATTACAAGTATTGGTCACAATTACAAGTACAATAATCATGGAAACTAATAAATAGATGTAATTCTGTACTGTTAATGATTCTCTAT